TAAAAACTGTGACAGGGAAAGCATGATAGGAGGATATAGGAAATGTGAATAGCCCAGGACAGAAAGGGAGATACCACAACTGTTTAGAACACGTTTGGTCAAAGGATGGGCTTCACTGTTGTTGTCTTTGACGAGTTGTAATATTGTCCTACGAATGGCGAGACCCACTGACGATGCCGACTACTATGCCGGCGAAACGTCTGGGAATGTACTACGTTTACGGTCCTACTCCGGAAATGATGATGCATACAATGGACTTCGGACTAGGTGCGTTCCTCTAAGTCTTCCTACTAATTTGACATAGTTGCGAAAACAAGGTCAAACTACTTCTATACAACTAAAGGAGACTGCGACCACACAAAAGGCCACATCATCTTGGTCTTCATACCTTATTTAATTGAGTTAAGATGAATCGTTTACCCAGTAAGATAGTTACTAAATCATTAAAAATATTTCACCTGCATGTGTAAGAAGGGAGGCAATCCATTTGCCCAATGAAGAGGGCTTCTTTGGTGAGTGCTGTCCATGCTCAAGAGAAATGTTGTTCCCCCCCGACGCCGGCAAAGAAACATCTGCTGACGTGCCAAAAGAAGTAGCACTTATGCCACATACACTTCCAGGCATCCCAGTAGTTGTCCTAGTGTTCAAATCATTATCCAAATAACTGGCCGAATCATTTTTAAGAGGAACCTGACGATTTTTAAGTAAAGTATTAGCAGCTGAGACAGAATGGATACTCTCGCTGGTGGAGCCGGCCCCTGAGAGCAAGGTTCCAAGGCTTGAAAGACGACGGAAACCAGAATTCTGGAGCAGCAGTAATTGAAGATAAAAACGGTAAAATAAATATAATTAGCTTAATATACTTAGAGGGCTAAAATATGAAAACCAAATATTAGTAAATCCAATGTCACAAAAAATTACTTTTAAACATTTGTAGGAAAATTGACAATCGTGTGGAGTCTTTAGATCGTAAATGGTGCATCATAAAGAAACAAAGCAAACTCCATAAAATAAAAGTGGGTTAACCTCGTTGTTGCAACTTGGTCTTGTGTTCAGGGAGACTATGTAGAACGCACCGAGTCCGAAGTC